CTGAACCTCCTGAAGCTCCCGTCTCTGAACCTCCTGAAGCTCCCGTCGCTGAACCTCCAGCAGCTCTCTTCGCTGAATCTCCCGTCTCTGAACCTCCCGTCTCTGAACCTCCAGCAGCTCCCGTCTCTGCCTCTCCATGTCGTCCTCTCTGGAGCTCAGGGACTCAGTCTGCAAGGAGCCCTGTAGCCTAACTGCTGCACGGCCCAGAACCAGAGGTGCACCATCTGTTATTCTCGAGCTAATTACTTGGATGGGATCAGAGGTTGGCTGGAGTGGGATGCTTGCTGGGTGATGTGTTGTGAACTGTTTGTAAGGCACTGGCTCTTTGGTGGCCAGGAAGGGTCTCACGCCTTCTGGAAGGTGCTCTGTCACTCTCTCCATTATATTATCGGTCAGCCAGGGAGTGACATCTGGTCTCTGGTTCCTGGGGCTGTTCGAAATAGATTCCACTTCATCTGGCAGCAACCTGGAGCGAACCCTCAAACTGGAGCCAGGAAGATGGAGAAGTGAAGCCAACATGTTAGACTCTCTTGTGGGAACTTCAGAGGTTTGTGGTTTGGCATGGTTGTATGCAGGCACTGCAGGAGTGGTAGGGAGTTGCAGAGAAGTTGGAAGATGTACAGGTCGAGTACTGTGCAGAGGTGAGTGAATGAGGCCTGGAGGCAGCAACGTTGTGGCGGTCATATTGTACCGAATTTGCAGAGCTCGCTGGTATTCTTCCAGGCGCTGGCGAGCCACTTCCACTGATCTCTGGTGTATTCTAAAATAAAAAGGGGTCCAACAAATAATAGTTAAGTCAATTTCATTTATATAGCACAATATCATAAATGTGGCTGAAGGGGTTCCACAATCTGTACGGCACAAAATCCTCTATATTAGATTCTTCTGATTCTTTGAGGAATCTGTGTGATAAATATAGTGAGGATAAAAGTAACACACTATATATGAAAGGTAAATTACTCTGTCACCTGCTGAGTTTGTCTTCAGGATTTAACACACCTGTTTTGTTCCAGCAGTCGCTGTTGATATTCTCGAATCCTTCTGGTGTGGTCATCTTCACCTGGAGGAGGCACCAGCTGTAGAGTGCAGAGGTAACAATTCAAAACACACTTTACATAGGATATGTTAAGAGATGACCCAGCAATACCTGTAAATTTGATGGGACTATTGAGAACGGAATATATTTTAAGTATTGTTTATTTATTCCCAATCATTTTCAATTTTATTTCGTATTAGTCGCTATTCTATCTTACCCTTACTTTATCTGTAGCCTCTCTTTTGATTCTTAATTGAGGAAAAATAAATAAATTGAAAAACCAGGCAAAGATAATTAACACAGACTGATGGATACCAACAAATGTGAGTAGCTATACAAAGATAATATGAGAAAAGGACAACTGAGAATAGCTTTAAAACTTGAAACCACAAGCCTACCTCGGTGGCTAGACTAGAGGTAACGGAGGTGACGGAGGTGACTTCCTGGTCATGGACCGGTACTTCTGGTTGGTTAACAGGTACTTCCTGGGTCACAGCAGCCTTCAGATGTTCTCTCTCCTGCTGAGCCTCAAGCAGCATCTGCTCCAATTTGGCCTTCTGCTCTTCCAACTCCTGCAGCAAAACCACCTGCTGCTGCTTCTCCCTCTCGAGCTCTTCTTCCTGGACAGAAACAACAAAAAAAGAGTTTCAAAACAGCGACCAAGCTACAAAAGAACATTACCTATAAGGTTGATCATCAAACCCATTTTCAGCTAAGCTTCACTATTAATCAGATATTCAGTCCAAAGTAGAGGAAAAAAACATTTGAGGCCTCAGTTGTGTTAAAGATGGTTTGACTGAAATATAAAATAATAATATATCTCGTTTATGAATCAGGCAAACAGGTATTTCTCAATCTGCACCTCCTCCTGTGAAATGCAGTCTTCAGAGGATCAACCCAGCAGCCTAGAGTGAAGCCTTTGTGTTTCTCTGCTGGATGTCCACCAGCCCCCCATTATGCTCAACTTCACTTTTTACTAAAGAAAACTTTTAGTATGCCGACTCCAACAGAGCTAAGCCACGTTCTGTAGTTTTCTGTTAAAAGCAGCAGGTTGAAATGCAGAGGGAGAAGAGAGTGAAGTCTCTTCTGAAAAGGCCCGACCGCCCTGCTCAACACACAACAAGAGGCTGGACTGATTAAGTAATGAGGAACACCTGGATCAATAGGTTCTGTCTAATCATAAAAAGCACATGAAGCCATTTGGATAACGATACAACCAGGCACTGAATTCTTTGAAAAACTATACAGTAAACAGAATAAGAAGATTTGTTGAATCAACAATTCTCAACAAAACCAGATATTAAGCTTTGTAAAAATAGGCTGTTTAGGATTAGTATTTGATTGAACAGGTTTAGTTAACTACAGGTACCTTCAAGTGACAAAAAACTTTATAATTATTCATTCTTAATTGTCATTAAATGTGATGAAATGCAGAAATACAATCATAAGAGCATATTGCATGTTTCCAGTGAGAAACCGACTTTCTAGTGTCTCAACAATGTTCTTACAATGTGATCTAACAACTGTCTGGATATACAGTACAAGCATTTAGACCTCTGATTACCTCTGTTTACGTGTACAGCGCACAAAAATGACTCCTGCTCTGTATCATATAAATGGAATCAGCATGTACCCGTTTCCTCCGTTCTTCTGTAAACTCTTGGATTCTGTTGGCAAGTACATCAGGAAGTAGAGTATCTGCCGCAGTTGACCTCTCTGTCCTTTCCAACGCTGGTGGAATTAAATAAAAAAAACAATTACTTTTTATCACAACAACTAAATATCTATTTTTACTCGTGTATATCTGAGAACAAAACAGGAATACATCTCAAAAAGGTGAGAACAATGAACTGTAAAAAACGTAAGTGGAAGAAGAAAAACAAAACACAGCAGCTATAAGAAGCAGATTTTATTTCATCAGATGAGTACAATGACCTACCAGGTGGTGAGTGGGCAGGCTCAAGGCGCTCAGTGGAGGACAGTTTCTCCTCGCTGGTCAGAGAGCCTGTGTCGATGGTTGTGTCCCGCTCTGGGATCTGATCGGTGATGGCGGTCTGTGAATCGGCTGCAGAAACGCGACTTTTGCTGTCAGTCCACTGGGTCCTCTGGCTCCTGATACGATCCAGGAGTTTCCTCAACGCTCGTCTAGGAGCAGGTCTGGAGGGCTCCGCTGCAAGTAAAGAATAAAACTGAATGCAGTTCAAGTTTGGTGACGTTGAGTTTCAAGAAAAGATCAAGATCAAGATTATGACACAGTGGAACAGTGGGATTGTATTCAGGCCTGATGACTGTAAGACTTAATAATTTCTATAATATATTCATGTCTGTGTGTTGATATTGTGTTAATGCCAAAGAGTAACTGCCCTTTCTTTTCAACAGATCTTGTGACAACCCTTAAAAACTGGTTTTAGGTTTTATGTGCTTCTCTTCACCTTCAGCAGATGTTTCCTGCTCAGTGATTCTGGCTTCTTGTTGCGTGTCTTCTGTTCCCGGTGTGGGGACTTCATCCAGTGTGACGTCCAGCTCTTGGTCTTGGCTGCCCGTGGACAGGGCTGGCAGAGGCTCCGGTACCAACTGGATTACCAGGTCACCTTTAACCCCTGGGATCATACACAGTCAAAGGTTAAAGATGCTCTATTAAAACTGTACATGTATGCTATATCTGCCACCAAAGCACTGAGTTTTTTTGCTATTTGAATGTGAAAATACAAATGAAGCTCAACACAATGAAGATTTAAGAAACTGTATGGACACAACACTGGGCAATCCTTACTCCTCTCTCCAGTATACATGTCCTCAAAGGCAAACTCCATCTCCCTCTGGAAGTCCTCCCTTGTCTCCTGTCTCTTACAGAGAGGCTGGAAGATCTGAGGAGGCATCTGTGACACCTGCTGTCTCCTCCTCAGCAGGTCTGTCTGCTGCATGTGCTCCAGTTCATTAAGCAAGCGGTTGCGATCCTAAAAGACGACATCAAAAACCGGTCAGGCACAAAAAGCAGCACCTGTCTCTTTTCACAAGTAACAACGACTTACTGATTAAACATGTTTAGGGGAAGTAGACTAAAACAAGTAAGTAGCATCAGATCTAATCATCTGTCAGCGACACATGAACAATGTGGGTGTCTAACAGGTAACGTTAAGGTTTACCTGCACGAGATGTTCCCTCCTCAGAGCCTGCTTCCCTCTGAGATGAGCCTTCTCAAGCTGCTCCTCTCTCCTCCTCATTTCTTCCTTCTGTAAGTCCTGCAGTCTCCTCAGCTCCAGCTCAGCTCCTTCATGGGCGTTAGGCTGTAGACACATACACGGTTTAGACAACTCTGATAGAAAGGGGGACTAACGAACTCTGGTGTTAAGTGCATACAGCAATCAGAGTGCTTACCTGATTTGTGTCTACCTCTCTGTCCACGGTGCTTTCAGGCATGTGGTAATGCGTGGCAGCGAAGGCACTCACATCAGATTTCTTTACGACTTGTGGCTTCTTGGAATCGATGTTCTGCTTAAACAAGAACAAACAACGTTACCATGACTGCACCCAGAACCTAAACTGTACTACAGGTGTTCTGAGTCACCTGCATCAGAAGAAAACACTCTTAATATTTGTGATACATTGCGAATGCATAATGACAGTGAGTGTGGAGTTCTGTGTATAGTTTCTTATTTACTAAGTAACCACAATGAAATACAGACTGAGTAAAGTCGTCTTTGTTTGTATCCACAACCCCCTCTTATTTATGCTTTTCTCTAACTCGCAAACAGACAGACTAACCTCGTTCCAGACCTTTCTGATTTGTTTTCAGCAATTCAAATAGAATAATGAGAAGATACAGAACCGCGAAAGAGTCTGAATATCAGGACGTTTTCTTAACTGTGCCTTTTGGGTTAGTACTGATGGTGCGTAAAGCAAATGTGCAATAGTTTCCGTTTTTTTGACAACAACAAGATCAAGAAAAACTCTAATTCGTATACTGAACTGAAGATCACCTGAATGGGGTTTGGGGGTGGCGGTGGGAGGCTGGCCACTTTTGCTGATCTTTCCTTTTCTGCCTGTAGTGCCTTCCTCCTGGCGTTGATGGATCTACAGGAAAGCAAATAAACAGACTCAATGTTCAGTTAATTCTAATTAAATGTAAAACATGTAAACATATTTGAAGCGAACGTTTGTAATACTGCTCACCGGCTTTGCCTCTCATGGTCTTTAAGCCTCTGGGATTTGAGCTCAATCAGGGCTTCTCGAAAACGCTCCTCTGCTTTGGTGTGATTCTCCTCCTTCCTCTGAGCTATGGCTGCCAAGTCGGGTTCCTTGTGTAAATAAATCAGAATTACAACACAAATTCAATGACCCGGACACTGAATTCATCTTCTAGAGAGATTGTTATAAATTCTTCTTGGTTTGACCTTAGATTGTCTTTATTTCCTCCAAAATTTACATCTTCTTTGCACCGAGAAACTCAAAATAACAACATTCAACACAACAGAAACTCCCATTAATGGAGACAAAGTATAGCTGCTGTCTTTCTTTTTGTAGACCAATGTTTTCTCACGTTTTCTTTTGCACTCCTATGGCCCTGACCGAGAAGCTGGAGGCTCTCCTGGTATAATTTCTGCAGCGTGTGGAGTTTCTCCCTCTGCTGTCGCTCCCAGTCCTCCCTCAGCTCCTCCCCGAGCTGCTCCAACTCACGCTGACGTCTCTGCTCGACCTCTCTGCGGATCTGCAGCGCAAAGTACCGCTGCTGCTCCCGCACCTGTGTGTCAAAGCAAATATATATACGCATTAAATAACAGCTCTTTTTAAAAATGTGTTACATGTAAATATGAAAATAGGACCCCAAGCCTGTTAATTTACTTTATAGCAACTAAAATCTGATCATTTGCATCCTCTATGAAGTCAAGTTCTCTTATTAGTTGGATGTTATTTATATTTATTTATGTGCAACACATTACAGCATCCAGATGGTTAATAAACAGTTTTACCTTCAGTTTAATTGTCTGTTTCTAGGCGTCTCTATTTTGTGACATTTAAAAGGGGGAATTGGTAAAACGTCTACTTAATGAGACTACTGCCGAGTTGATTAATGGCTTTATTCTAATTTATAGTACTTTAAAAAAGCACGTGTGTTGTGTTGAATACACTTCAGACTAAACAGGGAAGAGATCAGATTTAAACCTTAGATAATAAACACCTTAATTAATCCCCCTGTAGGAGAAATTCAAACAATAACTGTTCACTGCACCTTATATTTTAACTTGCACTGCAATTACACTGCTTATTTATACATTTTATGTTGCATTTTATATTTATATATATATTTTTTGATATGTCTAGGTAAGTATATCTATGTAACCTGACAACAATCAGGTTTATTCACCTCGTTTATGAACTATAATGTCCTGACAGAAAGGCTGAGACACTAAATGGAGCCTGGTTTAATATTTATCTTTCTTATTGAACCAACTAATAATCATTTAATCACAAATCCCGGACATTACCTGCTGTATCCGCAGCTTTCTCCTCCGTTCGTGCTCCTCCCGTATTAACCTCGCCTCCTCGTTCGGGCTGAGCCTTAACTGAGACACTTTTCTCTTCATTTCACATCAAAGATTCAGATTCAGATTCAGCAGTTAGCTCCTCCGTTAGCCACGCTGCTAGCGTCCGTGCGTCGGTCAAATGCCTCCGCTACCATCGCCACTTTAAAACGTTAAACTGACGAGGATTTATTGATCAGGTAAATGTTGAACCGGGTTGAATCGATCCTCCGGAGTTTTGTTTGTGATCAGAAATCCATGCCAACCTCAACGTTTTCTCCTAAACGTCACATCCGGTGGTTTAAACTGCCCGCCGTCTCCGTCCCGTGCTCGTCCGGTACTAATGGAAGTTGTTATTGGTTCCTACCCTGCTGTCAATGGTTCCTACCCTGCTCCTCTTTCAGTTACGTCATCTTTTAATTATTTAACAATAACAACAATACGACCGAGTATTAGCCAGACTAAGAAGAAATGTTTTATTTTGAAAATTACGAGAATAAAAAGTCGTAATGTTACGATAATAAAGTCGTAATATTATGATATTAAAAGTCGTAATAGTAAGATAATAAAGTCATAATGTTACGATAATAAAGTCGTAATAGTAAGATAATAAAGTCGTAATGTTACAATAATAAAGTCGTAATGTTACGATAATAAAGTCGTAATGTTAGGAGAATAAAGTCGTAATGTTACAATAATAAAGTGTTAATGTTACAGTAATAAAGTGTTAATGTTACGAGAATAAAGTCGTAATATTATGATATTAAAAGTCGTAATAGTAAGATAATAAAGTCGTAATAGTAAGATAATAAAGTCGTAATAGTAAGATAATAAAGTGTTAATGTTACAATAATAAAGTGTTAATGTTACAATAATAAAGTCGTAATAGTAAGATATTAAAAGTCGTAATAGTACAATAATAAAGTCGTAATGTTACGATAATAAAGTCGTAATATTATAATAATAAAGTCGTAATGTTACGATAATAAAGTCGTAATAGTACAATAATAAAGTGGTAATGTTACGAGAATAAAGTCGTAATAATCAAGAAAAAAAGTTGTTTTAATGTGAAAAAAGCTTTGATAGAGTTTTCAATATCTGACGTGAGCAGCTCAACCAA